GATAGATAGATAGATAGATAGATAGATAGATAGATAGATAGATAGATAGATAGATAGATAGATAGATATAATACCAATAGAAGACAAAAATAAACCTGTAGCCTTTGAAACAATAATAAAAGCTATGCGTACATTTCAAGAGATGTATAGTGGCCATATTGGAGGCATAGAGGTCAGAACCAATTCTTAAAATCGGTTCCCCTTTGTAACTTCCTAGACCTCTGATGAATAAATACTCTCTTTGGTGGCTGTAACAGATGTCTCTTTTAAGCACTTAGATCTTCCTTGTCAGCACAAAAGGTTTTTCTTTTGCTAATTTACCCTAATGAAATATAAAGACAATTGATCTTTCTTTCTAGTTTAAACTGTCTCTCTTGTAGAAATCAAAAGCTGAAAAGGGATGCTTTCATATTATCCTGTTGGGCTTATCAAGGAAATGTTGTATTCTATTAATTACCCTAGCCGGAGGCAAAAGGCTGAGAACTCTGGGAGGCTATAATTATACCCCATTTTACAATTTCTTGTAATATTAGAGGACCTTTTTTAAAAAATCCCTCCACCAAGCTTTACAAAAGCACAGAATCCAGCATCATGGTTGTTTCCCTCTGACTGTCTCTCAATAACAGCAAAGCAAATGCATTTATAGCTGACCTACTATGCGTCTACTACGCGCTTAATGGGACTACAAGTATACACAAGCCCCTAGGCAGCAGGCTGATTTCTTAAGAAGGCCTAGTTGAATAAGAAAGGCTTCAATTGCTCCATTTGCTCCTGTAGCTACTAATGCAAGCTCCATTCAGATGACCACTGCAGTCTTTCAGGCCCTTAAAAAAAGCCTCATTATTTCCTCTTTTTCCAGTCCTCTTTCCCATAAGCCTCAGGTCAGGGGGAGGAAGAGATGGAAAATCCAGAGCAGGAGCAGCAGAACTGAATACTTTTCTAAGGGCACAACCATCAGCTAGCCTGAGGGGTTAGCATAAAGCAGGCCAAAAGAAACGAGTTCTTTCTAATTAATTAAAATTGTTGACAGGGTCACTCAGTGGTGCTGTTATTACAGTTTACTGCAGGGTAAATTAAGGTGCAGGGATTGGTGGATTTCCCAGCCAGTGGGAGGAAATATCCACCAACTGTTTTCCCTAATGTCAGCTGGGCAGAGGCTACAGAAAGAGGCGAGTTTTAACAGATAGTTCTGGCAATAGGTTTAGTTCTCTGTCAAAACTTGAGGCATGAAATTAAAGGGGACGGATGGCAGTTTTCTTTTCTTGCTTTGTCTGGGAGCTTCTATACACGCAATGGATTGCCTGTGTGGGGTTCAATCCACATAACTTCTATCTGTCTATTATCACCCCCCACACACACACGTGGTTCAGGAATTTGCAGCCAGTTTCATCTAGTGGTTAAGGCGTCAGGATAGAAAACAGGTGATTTGAGTTCAATGTTAAATTGGTGTCGGCTAAAGGCCAATGGAATTCAAGAGGGGTTGGACTTGGACCATTTATAGGAACGTAACAACTCTAAGCTAATGATGTTCTTAACTCCGCCCACCAGCTCTGCTTGCTCTTCTATAGTCACCCACACAATCGCACCATCTCTCTTCTTCCTACATCACTTTATCACCTGTCAAGAGTCCCTTCTGTCTCTACTCCACTCCACATCTCTCTCTTTCAACTCTTGCTGGCATCATTTAAATGGAGTGCACAGTCTAATTTATAATAAACTACTTGAACTCTAAGGTCTGGCGTATTGCATACTCTCTCTCTGCAGCTGGGTACCCAAACTGACACAATTGCAGAGGTGGTATTCAGCAGGTTCTGATCAGTTCTAGAGAACCAGTAGCGGAAATATTGAGCAGTTTGGAGAACCAGCAAATACCATGTTGTAGAGCGGCGGAGGAAACGAGGCTGAGCCAGAGTGAAAACGTTAAAGGCTTTATTGCAAGAATAAAGGGTTGCCGCGTCTGCCTTCTAACTTGGCAGGTTAGCTGGCGGCAACGGGGCTGACACTGCTCGACAGCCGCCTTTTATAGCCGGCTGTCAAACAGTGCCAGCCAATGGGAGCGGCTGGTGCTCCCGCTCAAACAGCGGACCTGGTTGGGGACTTCAACCAGTCCCAAAGACATAACACTCCTTTCCCCCAGCTGGGAGCATGCGTAGTCCTTCAGGTAAGTTGGTTGTCTGCGCTGGCGGCAGGAACGTCGCAGCCCGGGCAAGCTGCTGGCTGGCGTCAAGTCCTCACCCCCAGGAATCGTCTCGGAGGTTGTTGGGGGATGGGCTCGGTCAGGTGTGGTGCTCTGTGAATTAGGTAAGTCCCCCTGTTCGGGCTGACCTTGGTGAGTCGCTTGGTCCGGCCGGCAGACAGGCTTGCTTGGCTGTTGGTTCGGGGTCCCTTGTTGGTAGCCCGGGCCCTCCAGCAAACTCTCTTGGTCGATGGGGTAGATCGGGTCCTGCAGGGAGCTTCCGTCTGGGTAGACTGGTTCCGGCAGGGAGTCCTCGGTGCTAGGAGATTGGGCTGGGTAGGTATCAGCTGTGCTTCTCCATCGCCTTCTGAGCTGGTCCACGTGTCTACACCACAGGCGTCCATCTTCCAGGAGGACCCTGTAGGATCTAGGACCTGTGACTGACACAACTTGACCTGGTACCCACAGAGGATCCCCTGCATAATTTCTGGCGTACATCAGGTCATGCAGGGCAAAGTCCCTGACCAAACTGTCAGATCCTAAAGGGGTGTCTGGGCAGTAGTGGGGGTGCAACCTGTCCAGGGTGGTCCTAAGGCGTCTCCCCATCAAGAGCTCTGCTGGGGACTTATTTGTAGCGGTGCATGGCGTCGTATGTTGGCTCAGGAGGTAACGTGACAGTTTGGAGTGCCAGTTTTCCTGGCCAAACCTGGCAAGTGCCTCTTTTGCTGACCTGACTGCCCTCTCAGCCATCCCGTTGCTAGCGGGGTGAAAGGGGGCTGTAAGGATGTGTCTGATGCCCAAGTTGGCAACGTACATGCTAAACTCACAAGACGTGAACTGGGGGCCATTGTCAGACACCAGCGTATCAGAGAGCCCATGGGTAATGAAGAAACGGGTCAGAGCCTTAACAATTGCTTGAGTGTTTGTCGAAGGTAGTAGGGCCAAGTCTATCCATTTGGAATAAGAGTCTACTACAACCAAGAAGGTCCTACCATGTACTGGTCCAGCCAGGTCGATGTGCAGGCAAGACCAAGGACCACTAGCACTTTCCCACTTGGTAGGCGTGGCCGCTGGAGGGGCAGCCCTGGTTTCTTGGCAAGGTTGGCATGAGCTTACCCAGCTGGAGATTTGGGCATCCATGCCGGGCCACCAAACGTAGCTGCGGGCCAGAGCCTTCATCCTTACGATGCCCGGGTGGCCCTCGTGAAGTACCTTCAGGATAGGTACACGAAGAGTGGCTGGGATGACTACCCTTGTCCTCCACAACAGACATCCTTGTAGTTTCGACAATTCCTGCTTACGGGTTTTGAAAGGAGCAAAGTCAGCAGTGTATTGTGTTTCAGGCCACCCCCTTCCCACCCAGTCCATAACTTGGGCAATTATTCTGTCTTTTTTTGAGTGCACAGCAATGTCCTCGGCTGTAACCGGCAACTTAAGTTCATTAACTTCAAAGATGGCATGAACCGGTGCTGGGTCTTCGACTGGGACTGGTAGGGGGCAGCGACTAAGGGCATCAGCGTGACTCAAGTTTTTTCCAGGGCGATGCACCAACTTGAATGAATAAGCGGCCAGGAACAAGGTCCACCTGGTCATTCTAGGTGATAGTACCTGTGGGGTTTGCTTATCCCCTGATAACAGCCCCAGGAGTGGTTTATGGTCAGTTATAAGTTCAAAATGGTGCCCAAACAAAAATTCATGAAACTTTTTTACTGCAGCTACTGCAGCCAAGGCCTCCTTATCTATTTGACTGTAGTTCCTTTCTGCAGTAGAGAAGGTCCTAGAGAAGAAGGCAATTGGTGCCTCGGAACCGTTGGGAAGCCTGTGGCTGAGAACAGCCCCAATCCCAAAGGGGGATGCATCAGCAGCTAGGACCAGGGGAAGTCGTTGATCATATTGCACTAAAACTGCATCAGATGTGAGTAAGGATTTGACTGACTTGAAGGCATGGGCTTCTTTGGGTCCCCAATGCCAGGGGGAA